CCTTGCGAAGTTTGCCGTTTTTCAGTCATTTTGTATTACAAATGGGAAATTGGTAATCAGTTTGATCATCTGATTATCAATTTCCCGTTTGTAATACAAAATGACTGAAAAACGGCAAACTTCGCAGGGCTATACAGTGGTTTCAAAACATTTCATAGTAGACGTTGCGTTGGGAAGAGTAGGAGTTGCAACCGAAGGCCGAACTTCGCAACTTGGGGGATCCCACGGCATGCTCAGGGACCGCGGCAGGCATGAGTTTGTTAGGGGGGTCCTGGCCGGGGCATGCTCCCTCAAGAAATTTTGAAATCTGAGACTTCCCAGAGCCCCGGAAATGCAATCAAATTCACTAGTTGATGTTGAAAAGTTTCTTAATAAACGACTCTTAAGCCCCGTTTACACTACGCTCAATTTTTGGTACGACACGGATAAATTTGGTACCCGTACCCCTTTTTTGGTTCTTAGACTTTCCAAGAACCAAAAAAGTGGTACGGTCGTAGTGTAAACGGGGCTTTAATCGTGATTATTACCCGTCGGCGTCATTTGTTTAATCCGGCAACCAGAAATATATAAGTTATAAATATATTGTTAACTGATCTGAAAGAGTTCAGTATTCTTATTTTATAAAAATCACCCTGTTCCGCAGTCCCTGATATTGCTTCCAGAACTAAATTGTGAACTTCTAGAGTGACTCTAGAAGATGCATTGTCCAGCACTTGGTTTTGAGACAAAAAAATCATATTTTAAATGTCTAAAACACTGTTAAATTTATGTTCTTATAATTAATGTCTATTACAACAACGTGCAATAACAATAGCGACCACATCTCCGCTGGCTTTCGTTGTCGTTTTTCCGCCATTTTGTTTTTGTTCTTGGAGACGAATGTGACATCTTACATAAAGTACAACCTGTTAGAAACCGCTACCAAGAAAACCTCTGAGCCTGTCCTCAACGCGCGCAAGAGACGCGTACGTATCAAAGCTTCTAATCTAGTAATCTGTGACTGTGGCTATGTTTCCACGAAATTCCAGGGGAAATATGCGCTTGTTTGCTCACAAAACATTTTGTAAACACTTAATTAGAATTTATAGTTACTTACAAAAGAGAAAGTAGCCGTCGCAAATGGAAGAGTTGCAGTCGGATGCGACGGGCGACGGCTTATTTTGAAACCACTGCTATATTATCCGCATTTTACAACATTTCGCAACGAAACTTCGGAATATTACTAATTTTGTGATGCTCTTTCAAGCTGTGATGAAATTTTTGTCCAGACTTGTTTAGATCAAAATTTCACTCAAAAGGGGAAAGGTCTATTAGCATACAAAAAATTGGCAAAGTACTACATGAGTCACGATTTAGGAACAGTTACTATTTTTAGACTTTTAGGGTTAGGATTAGCGTTTGGATGAGGGAAAGGGTTAAGATGAGGGTTAGAGTAAGGTTTGGGGTTAGATTTGGGGTTAGTATTAGGGTTAAAATACAAAAGAATACACAATTACAAAAGTCTAAAAATAGTAACTCTTCCTAAAATGTGACAGGTATAAAGTAAGAAACTATTCCGTGTAGCATATAACGGACAATATTAATATTTTTATTTTGTGCTTTCTACAGTTCATTTCTGATGTAAAACTCATGTTCAAGAACTGCCTGGAGTATAATGGAGAGACAAGCAGTAAGACTCTGACAATGGTTTTGCTCATTTTTTAATGTAGCTCAATAATGAGGCTTCAAGATGGCAGATATTTTGACTTTAGAGTAAATTTACTCGAAAACGACATCGGTGACCCGCAATTAGTATACTCAATTATCTTGACAATTTTAAAATAATTCTGTTGAACAAAAAACTTATTATGAATAATCACATTTATGTAATTTGAAAAGAATTGGCTTGACAGAAATGTTTTAAAATTGTCAAAATAATTGAGTATATTAAGATAATCATTTTATGAAATAAAATATGGGCTCACCGATGTCGTTTACGAGTTAAATTACTTTAAAGCCAAAATATCCGCCATTATTAAAACGTCATTGTTGCCATAGCTACGGCAGTCGCGTAACTCTTGTGAAAAATTTCAAACTCTTTGGATGTTTTACATAAGAGAGCTTAAAAGCTTAAGTAAACGACTTTTCTGTGATAACACAGATGTCGCGTGTAAATAATTTAGCCGTTAATTATGGCAGTTCGTTCTTGAAATTCAATGTGGTTTCACGTTCGTGGTTTCAAACAAGAACGGCTGTCGCCATGTATATATTTTCGATTGACTACAGTTTATAGACGTTTGGTTGGCGTTCGTATATAAAATATATAAAACGTCGCTTTATATAACGTGGTTAATGTATATTTTTGCTCCATTCAAGGTTATACTCAGATGGCTCGAACATTGGAGAATGTATTTGAACGCCAGATGAAGAAACACTTTCCTGATGACGACAATCAATCCAGTGACGATGACTTTGAAGAAGAGCTTACGGAATCTGAGCTCCGTAAACTAAACAAAAAGAAAACAAACGACGGAATGGAAGATTTGGTGAAGGCTGCAGACATTCATCGCTCGAATCAAACGATGTTTGACCCTCGGCTTAAAAATCCTGCCTTGTTCGCCCAACATTTTGGCATGAACCCAATGGCGAATGATGTATCCCGCATTATGCAAGATCCTATGGCGTTCCAACGAATGCCTTACATGCGCCAGCCGTTTTATCCTCCTCAGATGTATCCTGGTCACCCGGCTTTTGCAAGGTTTAATATGAATGATTTTCCACGTGGAGCTGCTCCTATGTTTTCTCCCATGATGGGTTTGCGCCATCCCGCCATGCGCATGAACCCACAAAGTACTGCTCAGTTTCCTAATCAGAATGTCCCTCCTGGAATGGTGCGCAATGTAGCACCTGTGGCTACCAAGGGTATGTTGAAGCTGTTTCTAGTTACATGGGAGGCAATGGGGCGCAAGTACTTACAAAACATAACGTCCATTAACACTTGCTTTCCCTAACTCTGGTGACAAAGAACTATGTATTCCACTTTTTATGTTGGGAGGACGGGGGGAGTAATACACAAAATGAATAGGCAATTCCAGCTTTTGACTAAATTTTGATCTAGGCAAGAAGAACAAAATCCATCGCCACAGCTAGAAAGCGCATGTTAAAATTAGTAAAATTGCAAAGTTTGGTTGCGAAATGTTATAAAATGAGGAAAATATAGCCCTGTGAAGTTCGCAAATTTTGTATAGATTATATTACGCGCGGTAAAAATAACCACTTTCGGCTCAAAAATGGTTATTCCTCACGTTATTTGTCTTTCTATAGCTGGAATTGCCTATTGAATCTCTATTTCGTTTATGTTTATGTGACATGACAGATCAGTAGTTTATGCAAACTTGTGCGCATGCAGTGAAGACAATTAATTTTTGGTAAAATCAAGTGATCACTAATGGCATACTTACTCAACCGTATTGTTGAAATATTAGACAGATTTAGAAAAGACGACGCGACCTCAAAGACGACGTGGATGGCGTCATTTGGCGCCAACTATCGTCAGCTTCTGATTTGCCACGTCGTCTTGGACAATTTCACGACGCGAAAATTCAATTTTCACGTCCTCTCTAAAACGTCACAGATTTATGCTACTTTTGAAAAAAATATGAGAGTATGCATGATAAAAATCATCCTATTTTGTTCCCCAAGTATTGTTTAATGATTCTAGTTAAAGGTTTTTCATTGACAAGGTTGTTTTTCTTGTATTTCGCTAAATTTGAACGTGTTAATTTTTGACAAATACTTTCGGTCGCCATAACAAATCAACAAAACTGCAAGCATTGTAAATAACCACTTCGATACCGCTAGTATTCTTCACCAAAACAAACATTTTAGAACAAAATGAAGTGAAGTTATATTAAAAACTGTTTAAAATCAGGAAAACTTGGGAAGATAGAAGAATAAAAGCAATTAAAAGCAGTAAAAACTCAATCAATTTTAGTTGCTCTGTCACAACAGTGCGAAAAAGTAGGGGAAGTAAAAAAACGCTTTCCAGCGTGAAAAACTATCTTAAACAGTATTAAATTTTATCAATATAAGCACTGATGCCTTATTTATACTAAACAGTTGACAAACTTGATTGAATAGGCTACAAACTAAAGCATTTAGCTCGTAAACAATACCTGCAGCTATAGTATTTATTCCAAATGATGCAACAAAGTTCACTTTTCAAAATACCGAAATATACGTCTTTTTCTAAAAAAAAACTTATTGAATGTTCATACTAATTCATCAGGAAACACTTGGCCAGTATTATAAAGCCTTTTCTTGCACATAACTTGACAACTGATTGAAAACAATACAGGAATGAGCAGGGAACAAGAAAACAAAAATTTGCTTCGAAAAAGATAAACAAGCCGTCCCAGATTAAAACCCGGAAGTGAACGCGAGGCGTACACGTCATTTTCACGTCGTCTTTGAGCTCGCGTCGTCTTTTCTAAATCTGTCTAATGTTCAGAATAAGCTCATGCTCTCATTTGCAAGCGCATGCTTATTTGCAAGGGCGTTGCAATTTCCGGTTGCAAGTAAAATACATTCAATATAGCTGACATGCTGGTACAGTCGTTTCCTCCAGCGGCTTTTCCACGATGACACAGTTCCCATCAAAATCAACAAAACCGTCCGATGTCCTTCGAGCGTATGACCGACGATATTTCTCGTCAACATGAAGTAAACAGTATGCTCCAGTTGCAATGTCCGAGGCATGTTGCCAAGGCGTGTAGTTATTTAGATGATGAGTTTTCTCTCGAATCTCAAGGATTTTAACAAATTCATCAGGCGGTACTTCTGTTCTTGTTTTCAATCTTTCTGGAATGTCGGCAAGGTTATTGAAAAGTTTTTGAGCAGTTGCAGTTTCTGTGTCTGAGACTATTAAGGAAAACATGGCAGAAGCAAGACCAGAACCGTATGAGAACATTCCAATCCGACAACCATGTAGTTCCGAGAATGGTTTACTAAATGAAGAAATAATAATAATAATAATAACAGTCTTTATTCATACTCAAGAACACCCGTCTGTGAGTTTACATTATAAAAATATATAAGATAAAATTATTGATATCTATAAGGTAATAACTAGATATACAGGGTGTATCAAAATAAACGCAATTCATCTTTTGTGCTTAATAACTTTCGAAATACTATTTCTAGTTAAACGCATTTAGGCTTACTTCAAAGCCTGTTCTTTTCTCTTTCAAACAAACTATTATCCTTGTCTCCAATGCTAGTAATAATTGCACAGGAAAAGATTTAGTAAAACCTATCATTTTTAGTTGCTGTTTAATTATGCAAGTTTACTATGTTATTGTTTGGTCGGTTTAAATGTTAGAATTTTCTTCTTTAAACTTTAATATTGTCGTCACTACATCTGGAAAACCACGTAAGAACAAATT